CACGGAGAATTAAAATTATACGTAAATTTTTGACTGAGTTCTCTGCATTATAGCTATATTTGATTTGTAAGCACATCCCCAGAGCTCAATTCCGTAGGTCCAGATTGGTTTAATGATTGATTTATATAGCAGCAACTTATTTTCAACAGAGAGCTTATAGTTTTTACGCAGTAGTCAATCAAATTCTTTCATATTGATCATTATTTGCTGCTTTTTTGTTTTTATGTGGCTTTTCCAAATAAGTCTTATGAATTATGAATCAAATTTGAGATTTGGATTTAACATACAAGCAATATCGAAATATGTATTCCAGCACTAGGTTCTTCGACATTTTCTCATCCTCTCAGCGCTGTCGTAGTGAGTCTGTCGGGGAGGAGCTGAAATTTAAATAATGTTTTTTTGCTTGTTGTACATGAAAGAATAACGTTCAAAGATACAAACGCTCTACTTGCGTGTTATACGCGTCGGCAGCGAAATAATTTGCATACGTACCCGCTGAATTCATGAAATTGTTCGGTGGAAAATATAACAAAATATAAAAATATATTTTTTATAATTAAAGCGTTTATTATAATAACTCATTCCATAATATTACAGAATTTATGGCATTATTTCATTCCGAATGATACATTTTTATTTGTTACTGATACTAATTTGGTAAGTATATACATATTCAATATCAAAAATCAATCAAACACAATTTTTTAATTAAAAAATTTAAATGGTAATTGAAATCATTTCAATTTATTGTATTTTCTCATAAATCCGCATATACCAGCAGTCGTAGTTGACATCTCTGGCATAGATACATTTTTTGTCCTGGTATATTTCCAATGATACTATACACCAAGACTTAAATATCAAGAATATAAATGAAGTTATCAAGGAAAGAAGTTCAAAATATTACCAGAAGAATCCAAATCACCCAAACAAATTTAGGCAACAGCTACAAAAAACTATTTCCATTATAGGACTGAAAATGAAGTGGCCACAATATTTAACTAGTTCAAAGGACGTCATACATTCGGCAGCAGATAACCTTATTGGTTACGATAAAGAAATTTATAAAAAATGTGCCAAATTTTTTTCAGCAAGTTGAAATTCTAAATTTTTATTGTATGCGTGTATATTTCATCTATATTCAATATTAAAAATGGAAAACTTCATGACTAAATCAAGCGACTTACTATATTATCTATAACTTATTATCATTCATTTTTTTATTTGAATTTGCGATCTGTCCATAGATAAAGGCATTTAGTAATTGTTTCGTTATTTTTAGCAGAAGGCTGTTTTGGACGGCAATTCTCTTCACAACTTCCTAGTTGAAGAAATAAGAAGAAAAAACAAAGAAACAGTTAGAAAAATGAATATACGGCCAAAATTCCTGTAAAATTCCACGGCGCTTAAGTTACAAAATTGGAGCCAATCAACAGCAATGACAATGATATTATACATTTACAACAAACTCGAGCTTCACAAATATTAGTCAAGAGTCCATTTACTTTTAAAAATACGCCGTCATCTAATTTCTTTCACAACAACAAAACACAACACAAAGACTATCTATAATTAGATTAATAACAAGTATTAAAGTCAACATCGGAGTGTGAAGTCAGAGATATTGCAGTGTAGATAAAGGAATTTGGTACACGTCCCCTTTTAAAGTGAAGATAAAAGCATGCCTTTGCCTTACGTTATAATTACAGAGTGCCGATCTGTTATATGTATAAAGATAATAATAAAATAAAATTTCGTTCAGAACGTTACTATGCCGGTACAGTACTGTGCACAGGTGAAAGCTTCTCGTAGGCGTTCAAACAGTCTAAGGAACGGGTTGTAAGTGACTTGACACTTTGTATCTAATACTGTTATATTTATGTATACTGCAAAATGTATTCGAAAAGCATTTCTATATAATGCAGACGTGAAATTTACAAGACAAGCTTTCAATTTTGTTATTGTTTCATATTTTCATAGAATTTGCTAGAATATGAAGTGTTAAAAAATTTAAAATTTATTTTATTTTATTATATATAATAGTTTTATTATATTATTAATAACAATGAGAACTTAATAGTGCGGTAAGTTTATTGAAATAACTTTTTAATAACGTGGCTTCAGAAGTCAACCCAACGGTTGGCTTCTTTTTGATCAATTTTATTATTACAATGTCTGCAATATTGGCGATTTTGTTTATTGATACACCAATGTCGGGTGAGAGCAAATTTTATTGGGAAGCCTATTGCTATTTATATTTCCAAATAAAAACCGATGTCACTACTGCTCGACATCGGGCGAGTATCAAACCGAGAACCCTTAACTGAAATCTCTTAATAAAGCTCTAACCACTAATCCACGGAGGTGCTACAAATAATTTAAAATCTAAATGTAAAATATGATCACACTTTAATTATTTGATGTTGTTGAAAATGATGTTTATAATTGTTTATAATATATCAAAAAAGTATCTATAAATTTTAATCTATAATTGAGAGGTAAAATAGCCTCTCACATTCATAATTTTGAACTTATATTTAAATTTTACGAAAATTGTCAAAAATTATAAAAATGAACTTCTTGACTATCTGGAATACCTAACTGCTAATTATTTTTAAATAATTATGAAGAAAATTGAACAAAATATCTTCAATTTTTAAATGGTATTTGTTATTCTAAAATTATATTAAATTTTATAGTATTTACTAAAAAGACTCAGAATTTTAATTTGTTTAATAAACAGCATAATTATTTATTAGTCGTGAAACATAAGCAATTCTTTCATAATCAAAATTGTGAAAATTGTGAAAAGGAGCATTTTTTATTAAACTTGATTCTTCGGTTTTATAAATAACATAAAACCTCTAAAGTTTAAACTCAGCTCTGAATATTTTGATTTTTAAAATTAATTTCTATGCCAAGATCTGATCTCTAATATTTCCAGTAAAACTATATATTATATAATACAGTTAATATTAATTAAATAAATGAATACAATAACTATTAATTACTTTTTAAAACATCCATTATCATTTGATTGAAGATTGGGAAATTTCCATATTTATATTTGATTTTGTGCCTTGCTAAATTGTAATTAAACCCAAAATTAAATTACTATATGTCAATCATATTGTGCTAATTTTTTATAATAATTATTTTAAAGAGCTCCATTAGTCTCTGATTGAATGTTTTTTGAGTTAATTTAAATGTTTGTGTTCAGCAAAGCTTCTCAAATATTAGTTTGCAATAATTAAAAATTATTTATCGTGTTTCCAATAGTATTCAATAATATAAATACGCGTAAATAACTAGAGTTGACTATTGACAAGTACCAGCTATCTATTTAGAGGAAGTAATATTGTGAAAAATCCTAAAATTGTAGTTTATTATTCCAAATTTTAATCAATTGCCGATGTTTGAATTATCAACGATGTTTGAACAAAAGCAACTTTTGATATAAATTTTGATTATAATATTGTTTCAAACTTTGGTGATTTTTTAAATTTAAACTGCTTGCCGTAAAACCGTTAAGTTTAGAGCCATGATGTCTATCAAAATAAACAGTTTCATCAAAAAACATTTTCAACGGTTAATTACAAAGAAACGGTTCGCCTTCGGAAAGTTAGGGAGTAGTCCCGTAACGCCGGACGGTGCCAAGCACCGGACACTCCATTTTAGCGCGTATTATTTAAGCATGTATAAATCTTTTTATTTCAAAATACAAGTGAAAGGGGCACTGGGGGCGGGGGCACACAGGTACAGGATCTCGCGCCTAGCCTCGCCTGTGAAGCACACGGCCACGGCGAGAGCAATCCTTTTCTGTTTTAGGCGCAAAATCACGACGTCACTTAAATATCAATGGAAGTAATTCTAGCTTTATTTATGCATTTACATTTGAGTGGCATGCAAAGATAAAAGTTGTACTTAATTGTTATCCGTAAAATGGTAAAATATTATTAGATCTTTTAACCAATTTTAGTAGGTGCCACCAAATGAACGACAATGTCTGTCTCTTAGCACCGGACACTAAGTGGTCCCATAGTGCCGGACAGTAAACATATTGATATTTCTTGTGAGAATATACGTAATTTATTCCATTTATTTAACTTTGTTCTGTATGAGTGCTAATGGACACTACATACCCCCATTTTTCGTATTTCCTAGTCGAAGAATGAAAAGCTTATGGTGAATGCACCAGCTGAGAGCATCGGTGTGGCTCAGCCAAAAGGGGGGATGAATAGTGGCTTTTTGCAATATCTAAGAATATTCGTCAAATACACATATGCAGATATTTCAGAGTGCGAAGATGGCTACGTATGTGATCAATGCAGGTTATTTTGCAATGTTCGGTACTAGGTGCCACTGTTTAAAATCATATCTTTTTATACCAAAGTTTAATTGATAGTATTAATTTTTTTTTGAGGTTTTGCTAATTTAGTTTGATTAGAAACTTTGTTATCTAATATAAATCATAATTTAATTAACATTTCGTAAAATTTTTTTTGATTTATTCATAAACAACCTTAGGTGTCCGCCACTAGGGGACTTCCCTCTAATAATAAAAAATATTTTGTTTTCATTATTTTTGATTTTATGTATTATTATGCACTTTTCTTCTTATGTATTAGGATGCACGTTGTTTGATTTACTAATTTGTTTAAATGAACTTTGAGATCATCACAAATCAATTTTTACTAGATAGTCAATACTTAAAAAATGTATTTTTAAATATCAGGGTGAAATTTCAGCTTAAAAGTTAAACTTTCATAGAAAGCTTAAAAGTTATTGAATTTCATAAAAAGCGATAAACAATTTGCAATAATGTACATAGTGACAATTCCTCTATAATGTATTGGGAATCACAAATGCAAGAAACACTGTAAGAGTAAATAAAAATTAAAAAGTATGGTATTCAACTGATTCATAGCTCTATTCCAAATAAATTGCTAAACAAAAATAAAGTTTACAAGATTTCTTATAAACCGTCTTCTCATATGCAGCATCTCTGTGGAAACGTGCGCGTCTCTCGATCGATACACAAATAGCGCGGCAAACACCTGTAATGACAGGGCCGACGCGTCACCTGTCAATGAGCCACTGAGTCACTGGCAGCGGACCGCCGAAGGCTTTGACACCTTCGATGCGCTTTCTGTCGGAGCGACGGGAATTTTTAATAGACAACATGGCGAACGGGTTGTTGACAACCAGTGTGCTGGAAGGGATTTTGCAGTAAAGAGGTATTGTTATGTTAGAAAACAGTAGATACTGTAAGGATGAAAATTTGTATTGAAACTAGCTGTAAGTGGAATTCTGTCTTAAGGCAATTAAGGCATCGTGCCTTAAGGCAAATTGCTGGAACTTCCCGTACCAAAAATGATTATTTGAAACGATTAACATTTTTGAAAAAAAATTACTTCGAAAAAATAAGATTTTTGACAAACAATTAGACAAAAAATTACTTTTTTTTGAAAAAAAAAATTTTTTAATTTTTTTTTTTTTGAAAAAAAATGTTTTCTTTTTTTGACATATTTTGAAAGATCTAAATTTTTTTCAAAGCAATCGTACTGCTTTAACTGCATAAAGACGAAATATCAAACCGCGTAAGCGCCGCGTCGTCGTCTAACGCGTAAACATTGGTACGGAACCCACAGGAATGTAAACCAAAATTATACTTGTTGTTACAATCTCTATAAAATATCTGATAATTTGATGTGCATATGTCTAATGATCATTTTTGACCGCCAAATGGCATTTTTTTTCACTTTTTTTATTAGATCTCCGAAACCGCTAGACCTGCCTTTATGAAAATTTGATCGGTTCTTCACCTTGTCAATACAAGTAAAATGTTTTTTGAATTATTAAAATCGGACGCTCCGTTCTCTTAAAAACTGAGTTACCGTTTTTGGCACTTTTTGCCCCGTATCTTTGGAACGGCTAGACCTGACTTCGCCAAAAACTAATCAGCACGTCTCCTTATCAATACGAATCGAATGTTTTTTGAATTATTCAAATCGGTTGATCGGTGTTCCCGAAATCGTCGACGAAAATTTGTATCCGCACATACATACACACACGCACACACACACACACACACACACACACACACACACACACACACACACACACACACACACACACACACACATACATCCATTTTTTCTAAGGTATGCCAAAATATTCAGAAACCTCTGAAACGTAAAGATATATAAAAATTTTCATTTTCGATTTTTTTGCGATTACTATAACTTACCCTACGGGAAGTTAACTAGTGGGGTGTATGGCATCGTGCCTTAAGGCAAATTGCTGGAATTTCCTGTACCGTAAAGAAATGTTCGAGGAATATTGAATGTTTTCAAATAGATTATTATAAATATTGTAACATTGTCTAATATTTATAAGAATTATATAAACTGAAATGCAAAGTTGAAATTATTTGTTTAAAGTATATTAGAACTTTATTCAGAATTAAAAATAAAATCTGAAGTATTTTCGACACACAAAAAAAAATTTTTTGAAAAAAAGATTTTTTTTTAAACGAAATTTTTTTATTCCAAAATCAATTTTTTGAATCATTTAAATCGGACGCTTAGTTCTCTCAAAAACTGCAATTTTTTGTACATTTAGCTCTGTATCTTGGAAATGGCTGGGCCTGCCTTTGCCAAAAACTAATAACTACTTCTCTCAATCATTACTAATTGAATGTTTTTAGATCATTCAAATCAAATGCTCCGTTCTCTCAAAAACTCGATTTCTATTTTCTGCACTCTTTGCTCTTTATCTCCGTAACTGCTGGACCTGCCTTTGCCAAAAACCAATCAGCACATCTTCCTAACAATAGGAATCGAATGTTTTTTGAACCATTCAAATCGGTTGATCCGTGCGCCCGAAAACGTATACAAAAAAATGCGGACACCCAAAACACACACACACACATCAATTTTTCCTTACGCCCGAAACCGTGGACGAAAATTGTATCCATACATACATACACGCACACACATCCATTTTTCTGAGGTATGCCAAAATGTTCAGAAACCTTCAAAACATCGAGAAATGCAAAAATTTTGATTTTTGGACGATTACAATAACTTACCCTACGGGAAGTTAATAAATTAACTAGTGGTGTATGGTATCGTGCTTTAAGGCGAATTGCTGCAACTTTCCGTACCGTAATGAAATTTTTGAAGAAAATTAAATGTTTTCAAATGTATTATTATAAATACAGTAATTTTCATTATTTATATTTTATAGACAAAAAATAAGGATGAAGCATTTATATATGAAAAGTAAATAAATAAAACGTAAACCGGAATTAAAGTGAAGGACATAGTCTAATATTTATAAGAATTATATAAACTGAATTTTGAAAATCCCCAAAATTATTCGTTCGTCAACACAAGCAGAAAGTTCTTTGAATCATTCAAATCGGATGCTTTGTTCTCTTAGAAATTGTCATTTTTTGCACATTTAGCTCCGTATCTCCGAAATGAGTGGATCTGTCATTCCCAAAAACTAATCAGCACATTTCCCTGTCAATAGGAATCTGAATTTTGAATTATTCAAATAGTGCGCCCGAAAACGTGGATGAAAAATTGTATCCATACATACATACACACACATTCAATTTTTTCAAGGTATGCCAAAACGTTCAAAAACCTCCAAAACGTGAAGATATGCATACATTTTCAATTTCGATTTTTGGATGATTACAATAATTAACCCTACGGGAAGTTAACTAGCGGTGTATAGTACCAAGAAGAATTGCTGGAACTAGTCATTTACCCAACATATGTATTTCTTAAATCCGTTAAATTTAATTGTCTTAACCAACTGAGATATAAGGGCAAATTCTTGGTTAAATTAGAAATGTTATGCTAATGCTATATGTTACGGGTCCAAAAAGCTATGTATTTGCTCTGCGATCAGGAGTTGAACACATAAAACCTAACTTTACGTATATTTTTTCACAGAGACATCAGGAAGTTGCACAAATAATAAAATTGTTATTGGACAACTGCGCGTGTTCGAGGTGTAAAACGCCTGATGACAAAGCAAATGCATAGCTTATTGACAGTCTGTGACTACGACTGTCACACGAATATAGACCGCCGTAATATAGAGTTATCATGTTATTTTAAAATTTTGAATTTTGAACGATGTTACAAATTAAATCCACGGTCTTCTATCTGGTAGCTGTAATCCTTCGAAGAGCTATTTTTACTTGGAAACATATTTCAATCTATATTACTAATTGAAAACCGAGCAACTACTGCTTGACACCAGGCTGTCTGCGGCGAGTATTGAACCAGCAACTTCTGATTCGAAAGCCAAAGCCCTTACTAATAATTTTATTATTTTATTCCCTAAACATTTTAGGTAGGTGATATGAGTTATAGATGAGATAGCTGTATATAATTTTTTCTGTGTTCGTATACTGAATAAAATATTGTAAAGGTGCAATTGCAAAGGTACAAATGCGATCTAGTGCGTTATTTTTTATTGAATACTTGATTTACAAAGTTGTATTAAGTTTAATTAGCTAATTAGCTAATTAGCAGAAATATTTTCTGAATTTGTAAACTTGAAGTAGATAGCAGGTTTGCTCCATTCCATAATGCGTTAACTGATTAAACATCATTGTTTATGGCAAGTAATATCATTTTTTTAAGTATATTTTTTCTAATGTTCAAACAATAACTACATAATATAATGAACTGCAAAATTTTTATAAATAATCTTGCCATAAAACTTCCAACAGTTATAATAGCTTTACCTTCAAGATAAGAATGCAATTTTCTTTAATCTGTTTCATCTAAGCAGCAATTTTAAATTAAGTAGGCAATCGCATTTTGCAATCTGTCTTTCAACGGAAGGAAAACATGGCCCCAGCGATACTGACATTTTATATCAACCAGGTAATTATAATCATTCATAATAAAGACCTTATACCTTTATGCTAGTTTGACCTACTATGTCAAATAATTGAAACGTGATAATTAATGACGCGTTATTTCATATTATTATTTTTGACCAAAAAGTAATTATAACAATAACGAATAACGAATTTATTTATAGTTATGGCATTTTTATAAGTATGTACACTATTATGATAACATCATGATATTACCCCTACATTTTTATTATTATGTGTTATATCAAATATATTAGTTTTCATTAAATGTTAATAGTATTATTAATTAAATAATATTGTATGAAAGTCTTTAAAAATTAGTAGTTCAAATTATTAATTGTAACCTATTATTGAATTATTATATATCAGTTCTAGACATATCGCAATGTATCTTTTCTTCTTCCATTACTCAACTGTGAGAATACAAATTAATAGCAATTAACTAACCATTATAAAAGCTATTATATTGTTTTCGTAATATTTCTTACACAATTTAGCACTTATTTAAAAGCATTTTATAATAATGCGAAAATAACAAAAGAAGTGTATAAAAACATTTCTGAATCTTATCGCAATTGCGTGAAATAATTATAATGGTTTATTAACAAATAATAATTACCTACTAGACAATAGACCTTAGATATTCCGATCGAAAGAAATATATTTAATTATATATTTTACTACTCAATATTTTTTTGATAGTTGATCTAGATTTGGTTTCCGTCTATACAATTTAAATCGCAGGAATCTTCCAATTGAGTTGACGGAAGCCAAGTTGAGAAAATTGTATTAGATTAGATATAAAGATTAGATTTTCGAATAACAATTTTTTTCAATGAGTACCATCAAGTTTCTAGGAAGATTTTCAAGATAGAAAACAATGCTTAATCTTTATAGTGTATTTATTTATATTTTTGACAAAATACCAGATCATGATCATACACAGTATTATATCTGTAAAAAATGCACTATATATAGTGCTTATGCTAATATAGGTGGTGCATAGCATCGTGCCGTAAGGCAAATTGATAAAACATCCCGTATTGTAATGAAATATTCGAGCAATATTAAATGCTTTCAAATATATGTATTATTATAAATACTGTAATTTTAATTATGTCTAAGAATTATATAAACTAAACCGCAAAGTTCAAATTATTTATTTGAAGTATATAAGAGAGTTTCAGAATTCTAGCTAGGGCTAAAATCAAATTCCGAATAATTTTTGGTATTTAAAAAAGATAACATAAAAAAAATATTTCCCTTCTTAAACTAATCTTTTCTTCACCACCAAAATGTATTTTGAATTATTCCAAACGAAAGCCTTGTTCTCTCAAAAACTGCCATTTTATAACTTTTAACTCTTCATTTCTGAAACGGCTAAGCTTTTATTTGCCAAAAACTGATCACCACATCTTCTCATCATTACGAATGTTTTTTTAATCATTCAAATCGGATGCTCAGTTCTCTCAAAAACTCCATTTCCATTTTCTGCACTCCTTGTTCCTTGCTGCACGCAAGGGTTGGGCTGACTTCTGCCAAAAACTAATCAGCACGTCTCCCTATCAATAGGAATCGATTGCTATTTGAATATTTCAAATCGGTTGATCCGTGCTCCCGAAAACATGGGCTAAAAATTGTATCCATACATTTGCACACACACACAAATACATACAGCCATCTTTTCTAAGGTATGCCAAAATGTTCAGAATCCTCTGAAACGCCAAGATGTGCAAAACTTTACATTTTAGATTTTTGGACGATTACAATATATACTTTCCAACGTGAAGTTAACAAATACTATTTGAAGAAAATCAAGTTTAGTAGGACATTATATGTTATATTTTCTATTCTAGATCTATATGCTTTTTTCGCTATTAAGTAATGGGCCAAATTTTGTTAAATTCTTTTTATAATTAACTTACAACTTTAGTATAAAATTAGCACTTATGCCATATAGACAAAAAGTTCATTTTCATCATTTTAGCCAATATTCGTAAAATTTAAAATGAAAGTTTCAATTGACTATTTAGAGAGGCTTTGTAATACTTTACTCGGAATTTTATCATTTTTAACATACTTTGCTTATATGAATAAGTATAATAGTTATATATGTATATCATTTTCAGATATTTTATGGATAGTTGGAATTTATTTTATCAAGTAATTGCAAAGATTGAATTTAAACCTGGAGGTTTCAAAAACCCAGGACAATCAGAGACAAAAGATCTAATTCTGGCAAAAAAGTCTGAGTCCGGGCAAGTATTGCTTTCAGAAAATCCTGGAACGAAAGGTGGAAATCCGGTCCCAACCAAACCGAGACATGTGATCTCCTTAATTTCTATCAAAATGTAATTTGTCTTCCAAATACTGCCTTCACCATTTTGGACAAAAACAAAAATATTACCCATGGAGTAAAAACTTATACATGAAACAGATCAGAGAATGAATGTAAAAAAGATATTTAACAGAGGCCGCTATTCTCGCCTGGTTTAGAAAACTCGCGACCACTTATGATAGTTTTGTACAAAGCCTGCTATTATGTTAGCGCTCTTCAATTACCTGCCGCCGATAATACAGAAGAACAAAAGCCGAGCGGTCCAATTATAACACATCGGACACGTCGGGGCGTGTCCACTTAATGCATTGCCCAGGAAGGTGTTCGGACCGACGATCCTACCTGGCCACTACGATAAGGTTAGAAATGCTGATGCCCTGGATCGAAGTTTCCGATTCAAAACTAGTGTATGACATTTAAGAGTTAACAGTTAAGCAATTTTTCATGAACAAATAGCCGATAATTACAGACTTCCAAACTTCATAATTAACCAATAATTAACTTCCCGTAGAGCAAGTTATAGTAATCGCAAAAAAATCGAAAATGAAAATTTTTATATCTTTACGTTTCAAAGGTTTCTGAACATTTTGGCATACCTTAGAAAAAATGGATGTATGTGTGTGTGTGTGTGCGTGTGTGTGTGTGCGGGTGTGTGTGTGCGGATACAAATTTTCGTCGACGATTTCGGGAACACCGATCAACCGATTTAAATAATTCAAAAAACATTCGATAAGGAGACGTGCTGATTAGTTTTTGGCGAAGGCATGTCTAGCCGTTCCGAAGATACGGGGCAAAAAGTGCCAAAAACGGTAACTCAGTTTTTAAAAGAACGGAGCGTCCGATTTTAATAATTCAAAAAACATTTTACTTGTATTGACAAGGTGAAGAACCGATCAAATTTTCATAAAGGCAGGTCTAGCGGTTTCGGAGATCTATAAAAAAAAGTAAAAAAAAAATGCCATTTGGCGGTCACAAATGATCATTAGACATATGCACATCAAATTATCAGATATTTTATAGAGATTAACAATAGGTATAAATTTTGTTTGCATTCCTATGGGTTCCGTACCAATGTTTATTTGTTAGACGGCGACGCGGCGCTTACGCGCTTTGACATTTTGTTTCTTTGCAGTTAAAACAGTACGATTGCTTTGAAAAAAAGTTCAGAATTTCCAAAATATGTCAAAATAAAGAAATATTTTTTTTCAAAAATTTTTTTTTTTTTCAATATCCTAGATTCTCAAAAATCTAATTTTTTCGAAGTAAAATTTTTTCAAAAATGTTAATCGTTTTTAAAAAAAAATAATAATATTTGGTACGGGAAGTTCCAGCAATTTGCTTTAAGGAACGATGCCCTAATTGCGTTAAGACAGAATTCCATTTACAGCTAGTTTATCATTTTAATTTTCATAGATATTATTTAAAATGTTCTATTACTTCCTATTTAACTTACTCATTCTTTCCTTACTGACCTTAATTTACCATATCTCAGTATATATGTTTATGTTTTTTTATATAGATTTTTTCTATTACTTTCAATATCATATACTTGTTAATTCCAATATAACATAGTTTATTATGTGATTTGAATTATTGTATTTAGATGAATTGTCCCACTGTCCGACGCAATAAACAGAACTGTGCAGGTCCATCACTTGCGACAGGTAATATAAAATTGATTATAATATTTCGGTTTTGCGCTATTATTTTTGACTTAAATTTCATATCTCTTATTTTGTTTCAAATGTATCAATTTTTGCTTAATTGCATAAATAGTTATCTTGATTAATATAAAAGAATCACTTCTAGAGTTAGTTGAAACAAAACCTTGGGGCTAGTTGCAACATACAAGAATTATATACAGATTTAACTGAAGATGATTGAAATGAATGGTGTATGTAAGAAAATGTAAATTGTGTTACAGGAGACACTATAACTTATATTTGTGTTATATTAATTGTAGATAAGAATTTATATTACGAGAGACATAATATATTTTATTTATATTAATTATTGTCTGCGTTAATTTATGAAAGGAATTGATTAAAAACAAGTATATTTTCTTAAAAATAAGTAAAGAATAGGAGGGCAAAGCTCAGTCGGTAGCGTGTTCGACTCACACGACAGGTATCTTCGAATCGAATCCTGTCATTGACATAGAATGTAAAGAATATAGTTAATTGGAAATTAAATTGAATTTGATTTTTCGAGTATAATTTAAATAAAAAATTAGAAGAAAGAAGAAAAGCAAGTTTAGATTTCGAGTAAATGAGATCTAAAAAAAAGAAAGAATCACTGAAGAATTTCGATAAAATAGAATATAAATAAAAAAGATAGTAAATAATTTATACAAGATAGTGCAAAATATATAAAAATAGAATAATATATATATGAAAATAATATAGAATACAAAAAATGAAATGTAAGTGGCTAAATGCTTTGAGTAAGTAAGGCCAATAAAAATAATTGAAAAATTAAAAAGGGAAAAAATCGTTTGTCGTGATATTGAAACGAGCTCCATCAAGGTTAGTTGTATCACCGCACTTTTTCTTGAAGATGATTAATTGTGAAATAGTGAACATCTGTTTAGGAGTTAATTTTACTCAATTCGTTAGAGGAATAGTTACAGCAATAATTCCAAGATATTACAATCAAAAACTGTTACAATAATACCCTGGGTCTCCTAGTCATAATAGCTCACTACTAGGATAGGACAATTATTGGGTTGCATTCCAAAACAAGTCATACGCTATGATACCAAAAAAATTACCAGTTGTCATTGTAATACGGAAACATCGTAATTCATATACAAAAACTTTGAAAATATAGATATATGGATATTAAAATTTCTCTGCATATTTGGCGTAAGTAGCTCTGATTTATCATCCATATCCATGACAATATTTTATCATGTTGGTATATTTCAAGTTTCTTACAGTAAAATATAAATATTTTGAATAAAAATTTAAAAATTCAAAAAACATGAGCAATAATTTAGCCTAAATTATTTAGGCAATAAGATAACTTACATTTAAAGCATTTAAAGTCATAATTAAATATTATTAGAAATCTTTGATGATTATAGTATAGTCAGATGACGTTGATGTCAGTAAGACATGATTTTAAAATTGCCGCCCGAATTGATTTTCATGATCATTTTATTTTTATGGTAATTTATTTGAATGAAGTTGTTGCATAAGTCAAACTTTATACCATTTCATTTCATGTTTGGATAGCCAAGTTTTACCGACGCGAGCGATAAAGTGTTGTCGTGGTTCAGGAAATCGATTTTTCCTGGAATTTGGAGTTTAGTATGAGTTTTATATATAATTTCCATCAAATTGCTAAAATTTTCAGTTGCATGTGAATTTGTAGAAATCGTGAAAATTTTCAATATTTTTTATGTGGTGAGGTGATGTGTAAAGTGTTTGTGCAAATCAGTGATAAATGTACTGAACGCTTTGTGCCCAAAGACCACGTCTTTGTTAGAGCATTTTATTCAAAGTAAGTACAAAACTTATAATTATATACTTCTTGATATATAAATAAATATAAGATAAATTTTTAAGTTGACTGGTTTGGTTTGTAATGCGTGAACAATCAATAATTTAGTTCTATGACTAAGTATGTTAATTTTTTTCAAAGATGGCTACGTCACAAATGAAAGAAATATGGCGCATTTTAAACTACACAGCTGACTAGTATACTACTAAAAATTATTTCAAATGTCTACTAATAAATTATTACTAATTATAGTGTCATACAAGAGAGTTAATAACAATTAACATCTTACCTTATAATGGGCTATGTTAGGAAATTTAGATGGCATTTTTATTGAATACTCTTATTACCAGTATTTTTGTTTTATTTTTATCGGAAGAAATTTTATCGGCTTTTATCGAAGAGCAATTTTACCTCATGTAAATTCTATAGTCAAATTAAAGCGAACCCACTTTTATATTATATTTATAACCACGTTTATAAATTATATTATATATATAATGTTTATGTATGTATATATATATATATATATATGTACATATATATATATGTATATATATATATATATATATATAAACATGTAAGTGCCGTACTCCGGTTAAATATCCAAAATATAATACAAATAAAAAAAAAATTAGTATTGAATCACTTATTTCTCAAAATATTTGTTTTCGCGTACTGACCACACTTTACGTGTACATATTTGCAAAAAATATTTAAATGTTTTGCAAGTTATTTTCTTAAACAAATAAAACACAGCATAAAAAAATCTCCCAAATCGGTTAACGAGAAACAAGTTTAATTGCTAACAAAAAAATGATAAAGATCCAAAGTTATTAAATAAATATTATAAAGTAAATATTTTATATTGTACTATTAGTACATTATTATTTCAATTATATAAATATATTTAATTATGATCGTAAGTTTTCATTTTTTCGGGTAAATTGGAATAGTGGAATAAGCCACTACATATATTATTATTTTTTAGTGCTATGGCTTAAATCATGAAAAATTGATGATACATTTATGAAAAATATAGAAATACTTAATAATATAATATTAGATGATCTAATTGAAAAAAAAACTAAAAATGAACATATTAAAATAAATTAAATATATCAGAACACTAATAATTCGAAATTAGAAATATTTTTCAATTATGTTATTTGCATGGATTATGTTTATTAATTTTTACATATCTTACGATCCTAAATGCATTGCGATGGTGTTATATATATATATATATATATATATATATATATATATATAATTATATGTGACACCTTCATGATTTTTTGTCGAATTTTATCCGGTTATTGCAATCAAAGTATGTTATTCCTTTTTGCAAATCTACGTTGCAAGAAGCGCACTATTTTCACTATGTTATAACAAATGCCCTTAATTTATTATTTCATCATAACGGACTATTTTGAAAACTGCTCATATTATGTTGTGAAATCGGAGAAGTGGTCTCAGGCAGAATAAATACTCATTGTCGGTGCAATTTGTGCAA